GCATGGCTGACAAGTGGTGTAGGTCCATGTCCGGGATCCAAACCTGCGAACCTGGGCCACTGAAGCAGAGCGCACAAACTTGACCACTACACCATGGGGCCGGTCCTGTAATCCTTTTTCAAAGCACTTTTAAAAAGAGTAGGCCCCTGATCCCCAGTGGCATGACCTGTAACCACCTCCTTGTTTCTTCTTGTCCAGCTTGCTCCTCACCAGGGCCCAGGCTCTAAGATCTACCCCCAAGCTCCGGCCCTATGTTCCTTATAGGGGGTCTTGCACTATTCTCTCTTCCTAGCCACCTAGCTGGCCACAAGCAGTGTGGTAAGAGCATGTCTCTGGAGCCAAGCCAACCTGGGTAGAACCGCTACTCTTTTTTCTATTGTGTAGTCTTGGGCAGGTTACTCTGGGCTTCAGTCTATGGGAGGAGCTTATTAGAATGCAGGTTCCTGCTTCCCCAATCCCCTCATTCAGATTCAGCAGGTCTAGGTGGTGGCCCAGAACTCTGCGTTATAAACAGTACCTGGGTGATTCTGTGTAGCTGGCCTGCAGTTTGAGAGACACACAATGTTAAGATTAGAGGTATCAATGTCAAGTGCCTGTAATATATATACATAGTGGATATTTAATAAATGGAGCAGTTAAAGGCCTCATCTCAGAGTTAAGCATTTTGCACATTGTCCCACAGCTAGTCAGGGGCAGACCTGAAACCAAGACCCAGTTCTTCTGACTCCACATCTAAATCTCCCTGTGCCTTCAGGACACTTGGGTGGCATGCACCTGGCCATCAGTGCAGGCTTCCTGTGGGTTAGAAGCCAGACTCCTGGCTGATTCCTCACTTCAGAGCTGTGGCCATGGCCATGACAGCTTCCCCTAACCTCAGGTTGCCCTCTAGGGATTTTGGTTTTTTTTTTTACTGTAAATATAGTTGATTGAAGCACAAAACTAGATCACTGTACTTCCTTCATGGCACTAAATTTATCCTCTCAGTCACAGAAAGTGCAACAGCAGGTCCAAAGTCTAAGAGCTAAGGCATATCAGTAACAAAATAGACAACAGATCTGCCTTCATGGAGCTTACATTCTACTAGGAGGAGAAGAAAATTAATATGTAAGTGAGTTATGTAGACTTAGAAAGTGATAAATGCCAAGTGGAAAAAATACAGGAGGGAAAATGAAGAGGAGATTGCAATTTGATCAGTGATGCTTTCACTGAGGCGACATTAGCAAAGAGTTGGAGAAGTGAAAGGGTGAGCCATGTGGGTATCTCGGAAGAATGTTTCAGGTGCAAGTGCAAGGCTCTGATGTTCAGGCCCACCTGGTGTGTTCAAGCATGAGCAGATACTAGCGGGACTCAAGGAAGGTAAGAGAGGAGGAAAATCATAGAAATACAGTCATCCAGTAATGGGGGAGGTACAGCGATAACTACTCTGAGTGAAATTAGGTACTAATGAAAGAATTTGAGTACAACAGTGCCATGAATAAACTGACAATTTAAAAGAATCATTATAGATTCTCTATTGAGAATGGTCTATGGTGGAGGCATGTGAGAAATTATGGAAATTAGTTCAGGTGGTATTTCAGTAGTCCAGACTAGGCCTGGAGTGATATTCCTGGAAATGCTGAGAAGTGGCTTCAATCTCGTTGCATTTTATAGGTAGAAGCTATAGGATTTGTTGATGATTAGATATGGGAGAGAAGATAGAAGTTAAGAATGGCTACTAAGATATAGCCTGAACAACTGGAAGGACTGAATTTTCATTAACCAGAATAAAAAAGAATGTCACAGGAGGAGTAATTCAATTTTAGACATAGTAAATTTGAAATGTCTTTTGACATCTAATTAGAGCTATTGATGAGTGGGCAGTTTGGTATAAGCTTGGGGAAGCCCTCTAGGGATTTTAAGCTCACGTCTTTAGGCTTAAACACTAGAACAGACCCTTTCGGGGTAGAAAACAGAGTATCAGCTAACATTTTTGGAGCATTTCACATCCACTCTCTGGGGTGGGTATTAAAAGTCCCAATTTACTGATGAGGAAATAAAGGTTTCAAGTGGCAGAGATGTGAATCTGGGCTTTCTCCGCTGTCTGCCTCCTCCCACCATCTTGTCACACAACGAGTGTATTAAGATCTCCATTATACTGTGCACGTGGCAGAGAACTGACCTACACAACAATTTAAGACTTCATGATGGAGTTTTACTGTTTTTCTTTCTAAAGAAAGGAGGGTTTTTAGGTGATTACTAACCTCACACTGCTGTCACTCACAGCTCATTTTCTGTTTAATTAGATCTCTCCTTCCCCAGAGAAGATATGGAGGCATAAGCCACTCCCAGTCAGTCAGTGGTGAAGTGGGGCCTTAAGCTCAGGGCTCCTTCCAGGCCACAGGCCATAGGCTCGTGCCAATCACCCCTCCCCACTCCCTGCTGAGGGAACCAGAGCAAGGTAAGTCCAGTCCCTTAGATCAGATGGACCTAGGGACAAAATGCAGGTGGGAAGCAGCTCTACATTGACACGGACCCTGGGACCTGGGAAACCCTGTGGCTAGGCCACCCCAAGAGACTCTGCTGTACCCAGAGACCAAGCCTCCCCCTGTCATCCTAGGATGTGGACATAAGAAGAAAAAGGAGTCACTCTATCCCCAAGCCTCCATTCTTCCTTTTAGGATTTATTCCCTCTACTCAGTTCCCATTTCCCTCCCTAGTCCCAAACCCTGGCTTCCCCCTGCCTAAGTGACTACAGCTACTTCTGGCAGATCTTCTGCATTGAATCCCCAGCCCCTCCTCTTGCATACCTGCCAGTAGCAGAGTGGTTAAGAGCTTATGCTGCATCTCCCCATAATCTCTTCATCCAGTCTCCACCCACCATTCATGTTTTTGGATCATGCTCTCTAGTAGCCCAATTCCAAATGGAACTTATAATTCTATAATTCCCTCCAACAGTTTCACTGTCATTTCCTCCCTTACCCAGCTCAGAGTCCATGAGTCATCATTCTGATCACTTCTTGCATATACTTGGACTCTCTTCTTTTCTTCCACTGATTCCACCTGGCTAAACTTGAACCCTGGTTAAATCCAACTCCCCACCTGCTCTGTGCCTGCGACTGAGCAGCTGAATGTGGCAGGACAAAAGCACAACAGCGCTGACTGGTCTCAAGATCCATGACCACTTCTTCAAACGGGCCCTTAGGCAACCCCATACCACCTGTCGGGTCCATCACATACTCTTCCGCTCTCCTAAGGGACCATTTCATACTTTTCTAAATACTCATTGGGTGAGTCAGTTTCCTACCATAAAAAAATGGGGAAAATCACATAGATTTCATAGGGCTTTTGTAAGGATTGAGTGATATGCATATCAGGTGCTTAGCACAGAGCTATATAGATATAAAGTGCTCAAGAGAATGGTACTTCTTATCATCATCATTTCTCCAAAGCGGGGCTCTACTCAAATCCCTTCCCTGATTGAGGATCTATCATGAAACAATTATGCTCAATATATAGAGGAGTCAATGGAGGCTTAGAGAAGATCGGTAACTTTTCCGAAGTTACATGGCTTATGAACAAAGTTGAGATTTGAACCCAGAAGTGACCAAACTCCAGAGCCTGAGCCCTTCACCTCCATGCTCTGCTGCTTATGGCACCAAGTCCACCCTTCTGAATCCAGCTGAAGACTTTAAGTTCTTAAGTTCTATTTCTGAGCCAACCCGTCCACCCTTCTTATTCTTCCCTCTCCTGGGAGACAGTACAGAAAAGTGGGCTTTGGTCCTCCCCCCTTGAATGTGCCCCATGCCCTCTGCTATCTGGACTTTGTAGGCCTCCTCAGCCTGAACTATCACTTCCCCACATCTGCCCCAAACTTTCCAGCTCTCCTACACAACGCCTGTCTCCTCCAGCGGTGAAATACCCGCTGATGCCCAGAGATCCCTTCTTTCTCTGAACAACTCTGTACCAGGCCTGTCTCATACTGCTTCATGCTTCATCATAAAGACTGCAGCTTTTGCCCCTCCCTCCTCAGTGTCTCATAAAGAGTAGGTAGGAGCTCAATGGATGACCTCACTGAATCAGAGTCAGAAGGAAAGCACTGTGTTGGAAACTGGAAACCCTGCAGTTTCCATCAGGGAGCAGGGCAGAGGTGGGGTGGGGCCTGATTCCCACCCACTGCAGCAAACCAGTCCCTCACTGCACCAGCAGGCCAGGGCTCACCAGCTGGGCAAGCTTTGTGGCTAACTGGTACCAAGTGTTAGCAAAGACAGGATACGTGTGTGTGAGGGGTTGAGGGTGACATTTGGCTATCTCTGGAGGGGTATTCTGAATGTGGCAAAAAAGCTGACACCAGAGCTATCATTGTCCTTTAATTCCAGGAGTTAGAGAGGTTTCCCTTTGACATAAAGTCAAAGAATCTCCAGTCTAAAATTTCATTGTACAGATCGGAAACTAAAGCTCTATTACTTAAGCTGGGTCATAGCAAGTTCATGAGTGTTCACTTTATTCTTCTCTAAACTGTACACATTTTGTTTATGTATTTCATAATAATAATTAATGAAGGCTTAGGGAAGCTAAATGACTTTCCTGAGATCACCTAGGGAAGAAGACCCTTCACATCAATCAATATCAGGGATTCCCAACCCAGGATAAGGTTGAATTGTCCAAAAGGATAGAAATTGGCAGTGTGGTAGTTAAGAGCATGGGCTTCGAGTCAGACAGAACGGGGTCTGAATCTAGGCCTGCTACTTCCTGGCTGTGTGAATTTGAGCAAGTTATTTAACATTTCTGAGCCTCACTTTCTTCATCTGTAAAATGAGGACAGTAATACCGACCTCACTGGGTTGTGAGATGTGAGAAATTAAATGCAATATAGCATACTTAGTTAAGGACCTCATGTAAACCTTATTTTGTTGAATTTAAGACCCCAACAATTGTAAGATGCATCCTTATTTCAGAGAATATGTGCATCTTAGAATTGATGAAATATAGTAATAAATACTCAATATACAGCAACTGTTAGCATCACCACCAGTATCACAAATGAAGGCTACCAGCTCAAGGGACAAGGAGACAATTGCGCCTTGTGACGTGGCAACGCTCACCTGCCCTACCCCCACACACTCCCCGGCTTTGGCCTCGACTTACCTTTCTTTCCATTGTTGGAGGGTGTAGACTTCCCACTGTCCGAGTTCAGCTCAAAAACCCGTAAGTCTGTGAGTACCTCCTCCCTCAGAGTCTCTACTCTGGCTGGAGGGCGGGGCTCTGGGCCGGTGGGGCGGCTAGCAGGAGTGTGGGGTTTGGACTGAGCTAGGGGTGGGGGTCCAGTCTCGCCCACATCCACGGCCAGGCCCTGTTCCTCCAAAGATGCCTCTAGCAGCTTTTGGGACAGGTCCTTGGGCAGCACTGGTGCCTCAGGTGCAGTGGCAGGTTTGGCAATCTGTGTCACGAGGGAGATGCTCTCACTGCTCTCCGATGGAGTCACTTCTGTTGGAGGCTCAGCTGGGGTCACCAGATTATTTTCACAAGGACTCCGGGGGCCAGGTCCTCCTTCAAGGGATGTGGAAGTTTTGGCCACAGGGACCTTTGCCTCTTTTGGAGATGTGGGTGAAATGCCCACAAGCTCCTCTGTAAAGACAGAAAGGCAGGGAAAGAGGGCAGTGTACCTGGTCAGCCCCAAGACAACCCTGGAGCTCTCTGAAGACAAACCTCAGGTTCCTGCCCAAGTTTAGTCTGATCCAGACTAAAGGGTGCCAGTTTCCCCACCCCCACCCCATCATGGTTCTTCTGCAGATACTCCCTGTTGGTTAAAGTCTCTCCTACCTGTGGGGCCTAGCACACGTCTGGTGGGCATTAGGCTTGTAGCAACACAGCTCAAGATGGTTCAGGTCAGGCTCTGCTACATTCTAGGTGTATGATCTTGGGCAAGGTACTTAACTTTTCTTTAACTCACCTGCTTCAATTTGTAATGAGGGATAATGGAGTTGTGGTAAGGACTATACATGTAAAGCTTTTCGTACAGGTTGGGCATATAATACAAGAATTTAATAACTGTGTTAATATTCTATCATGCAGGCTCCAACACACAGTCCTAAGCTGAGGCAGAACAGCTGAGGATCCCGGTAGGGGATGCTCAGCTCCCTCCCTACGCCAGTGGTTCTCAAACCTGGCTAAGCATTAACATTACGAGGGTAGCTTGTTAAAAATACAAGTTCGGCCACATCCCCAAAGTCTTATTGGGAAGTAGGGGAAGGGAATCTGGCATTTCAATAAGCGTCCTGGGTGAGTGTGAAGTAGCTGGTCCATGGGCTGGTAGGGAAATCTGCTGCAACTGACACATGTGATTTCTGTACCTAAACCTGGGATTCCACCAGCCTTGGGAAACATCTCATTGTTAGCTCAGCCCATCCTCAGCATGCACAAACACTGTCCTCATTCCCTACTCTTCCCTGGGGTGCCTAGTCTCGCCAGGCTCAGAGAGAGTGGCCCAGATAGTTCCCCCACAAGCAGGACCTGTTACTTGCCCATCACCTCTCAATACCTCTTACCTTCCTCCTCCTCCCAGCCAGGCTCTTCAGAGATGCTCTGTTCTGCCCGCTGCTTCAGGGCATCCCTCCGGGCCTGCTCCTAAGTGTAGGGGAGCAGAGGCCAGGAGTAGTCAAGGCACCCTCTTCCAAGACCCTTGTCCTGACCCCAGAACTTGTAGTACTCTGTGCCCCTTCTTCCCTCAACAAAATCCAGCCTTACTTACTTCCCCCAGGGCTGAGTGGAGTACCTCCGTGGGCTAGGCCAGCATACCTGCTCTAGTTGATGGACTTTATAGAAATATCGATGCCAGAATTCTGAATGGGAAACAGCTGCAGGGACCTGGAGGGAGGGGACAGCGGAGATGAGACTTTGGGAGTGGTTGTACGGGGTCTGCGTCCCCAGCCTTATCAGCCTGCTCCCAGCTGCTCTGGATTTCAGATGTGGTAAGTGGCCAAGCAGTGATTTTCGGAGCACTTCCATCCCCCTAAACCCACCTTCCTGGCCCAGCTTGGCCAAGGAAGGAGAAAAGAACTCCCAACAGGCTTTGCTGGCCCTTCTACTTCTGCCATGACTGCCAGAAGCCTGGGGAATCAGCACCCCCCCAAGTGGATTCTTGGCTCAGGACCTGGCTGGTCTGGCTCTACAGGGTCCCTCACTGCTCTCTAGGACCAGCTGACTACTAAGTGACTCTGGACATGTCCCTCCCACTTCCCGACACCTCAAGGCAGGAGCTGGCTGAGGTCCTGCCAGCTGAGCCCTCACCATCTTGGTGTAGAGGGCCCGGATGGAGGGGCTGCCTACAAGGAGCTCTGAGATCTCCCCCTTCTTCTCCTCCAAGCAGAACTGGGAAAGCCAGGCATCAAACAGTTCCGGGGGCCCTGCAGAGGGACAGACATCGATGGTCAGTTCCCTGGGTCCAGGGAAAGAACTGGGCCTACAGAAAACACACCTAATCCTGGACATGGACAATAAGGAAAGCTTAAGGTTTTTTTCAAAACCATTTGGCCTAAGGTGGGAGGTCAGGCAGGGTGAAGGGGTGGGTCGGCCTCACTGATACCAGGGAACAGCATGTAAGTGATCTCCAGAAGGCGCTGCAGTCTCCATTCTTTCTTGTGCCTGCCTGCTTTTCAGCCCACTGCACCTGGCTTCTGAATGCCCTCCTCTCTGAAACAGCTGTTCACAGGCCATCAGTGACACCATGTTGCCAGATCTGATGGCTACTTCTCTGTCCTCTGTCATGTAACCATTCTCCAGTTTCTGACCCTTGGGAGCCACTGCCGAGCTCTGAAGCCATCTTCTCTCCTGGCTTCTCACTCTTTTGTGATTTTCCTCCCACTTCCCTAGTTGTTCCATCTGAGTCTTCAATGGGGTCCTCTTTTTGCTTTCCTTTACTTCTCTCTTCTCATTCTCTGTTTTCTCCCAGGATAACTTCCACTAAACCACGAGTCTCAACCTCTCCGTCCCACTGACGATTCCTCAGTCTGTCTTTGCAGTTCAGGCTCCCTTTCTGGGCTCTAGATCCAGAGGTCCAGGTGTCCCCTGGACACGTCCACCTGCACAGGTGCTGGAAACCCAATGTGTGCCCATTTTCTTCTCTCCCCAACCTGTCCCACCCAGTTATCCACTGGAAACCTGGGGGCCATCCTAGACTCCTCCTTTATCCAATCACTCTGGATTCCACTTCCTCAGTGTCTCTTCCATGCACACCTTTCTCGTCATTCCACCCGCCACTTCCTAGGTGTTGGCCTTACCTCTGACACGCAGATTCCTATCAAGCCTCCTAACTGGTCTTCTTGTCTTCTGTCTCTCCCTCTCTATTTCACCCTTCACAACCATGCCAGAGGCTCTTTCAATAGTTCTCTATGGGAAGGCTTTTTAAGCTGGGGTCCAAAGATGGGCTGCAAAGGGTCAAAGAATTCCCATACTGCACATAAAACTTTTTGGAGAAAGGGCTCGTCATTTTTAAAGGCCTTTGTGACTAAAAAAACTGTTAACCACTACTTTGAGCCTTTTAGGACACAATTCAAACTGCTTAATCTGGCTCCCACCGGCAGCTCTCACTGCCTTCAGCCCCCACACGCACCCTTCAATGCAGCCTTCTCAAGTGCCAGGTGTTCCCTGTCCCCTCTGGACCTTCAAATGCCCTGCTGCCATGCTTGAACACCATTCCCCTACTTCTAAAAGTAGAACGAGTTTACTTCTAATTCATCTTTAAAACCTCAATTCAAGTGTCCCAGCCTAGGTTTCCCAGGCTGGGGGCTCTCTCTCTGGGTTCCCACTGCTCCCATCTTTCTGTGGAAGCAGTCGCTCCATCTCTACTAGCTTTGCTTTATTCACTGTTTCCTGTTTCTCTCTCCTAATAGCAGGTTCTTGGAGGTTTGGACCAGGTTGAGGGTTTGACTAATTTCTGATCTCCAGTTCCCAGACCAGGGCTTGATGCATGGCAGACACATAGCAAACAGGTGCTGAAGGGAAGGGAGGCAGGGCAACAGGGCTGAGAGGGAGCCCGAGCTGAGGCTGAGGGGTGGGGATGGAGCAAAGCCTCTGCAGACGGGGATGAAGACAGTCCGGGTTCAGGGAGCAAAAGGGACCATCAAGCTATCCCACCAGATGTAAGGTACACACTAGCCCCACTTTGGTCCCTCTACACGGGGTACCTGGCCACTGCTGCCAGAGACAAACAGGGTGCACAGCCCAGACCCCCTTGGTCTCCCTGCCCTATAGTCCACCCCCTCACTGCTACCCCCTCACCATCTGGTTCATTGCAGTAGGTTGCTGGGTCTGACTGCAGGCTGTAGAGGCGAGCCTATAAGAAATAGAGAAGGGAACAGAAATTCTGGGGTGCTGGGCATAGAAAGCACCCCCTGTCTGCCAGAGTACCCAATCAACCACAACCGAGCTTCTCTCCTGTTGGCTACCACAGCCACAGAGCAGTTGCCAATTAACACTGTGGCTAGGGAGTAGAGCACTGGGCTAGGAGTCCAAAACTGCAGCTCCCAGAAAAATGGTCTTTCACCCAGTATTCCATCTCTGGGAACTGTGTAAGCAGGCTAAAAAATTAAATGTATAAAATGCTTTTGAATTATGTGAAATGTGAAACATGTTAGTGTAAGGATATTAATAAAGCCAAAATTTATGGTCAAATTTTGAAATAATGTAACTCCCCCAAATTAAAACCATTCATCAAGAATTTCTTAATTTCAGGACCCACAACTAAAAATATACAACTATGTACCAGGGGGCTTTGGGGGGAAAAAGGAAAAATAAAATCTTTAAAAAAAAAAAATTTCTTAATTTCATACTCAATCTGCCAAGTGAACTGTAAGCTGTGTTCCCATTAGGGCCACAGGAGGCAAACTTCAGCCGATAAACAGAAAGGCCCACCTTTCCGCCTCAGCATTACGTGAAGTAGCGGCGGGTGTCTGCATCAGGACTTCAGCAAGTGGTTGTGGTGACTGACTGTTATAATTTAAAATTCTATAATTTAAAAATGTTCACAATTCCACTCAAATGTTCATTAAATGGTAGTGCTAACACTAGTGCTGAAAAACAGGCTTGAAAAATCAGTACACTTAGAATGGAAATTCAGTATGGTAAAATGCTACGAAGAAGGCCCAACTGTGAATTTAGGAGAAAACACTCCATGAAATACGAGAAGTAACGATGGGAAAATAAAACGCGGTAGAAATATACTACCATTGTTGTTGATTTCAGTGCTTTGAAGACATTCTCCCTCCACACATTTATTTTTATTGGAAATTAGTCTTAAATAACCCAAATGTGGAGAGGATCATGCCGGTAAGATGCTCCCTGCAGCATTCCCTATTATGGTTAAAAGCTGAAAGGAAGCCAAATGTGCGACCCTAGGGAAATGACTGAATAAATTATGCTGTATTCACTTGTAAGAATCTAAAGACATTAAAAAGCGTGATGCCTAGGAAAGATGGTAATAGTTTATGGCTAAATTTTTTTTAAAGCAGGTACAAACTCCCATGTATAAAGTGCCTTTTTTGTTAAAAAGAAAAAACCCAAACTCTCTCTACCAATGTTTGCAAACAAAAAGAAATGGAAGGTTATACACCAAGAAATCAGTGGTTCTCTTTGAGTGATGGGATTATGAGCCTAGAAATACTTATCTTCCTGCTTATTGGTATTCTCCAATTGAGTTATGTACCTATATTTACTTTTTAGCCTGAACATGTCTTGCTTTTGTGAGTACAGGTTAGAAGCTAGAGCCCAGTGCTGTTAAGCATGTAGTGAATTGCTGGTGCATACCTTGGTGCCATCATAGGGCTCAGCTGTGCCAGACGGCGTGCCCATCAGGGTGATGACATCGCAGTCGATGGTTTTGTCCGGTGAGGGAGCAAAGGCATCGGAGATCACCCCTAGGAAGTCAGACAACCCCTTCTTCATTTTCTCTGTTGCTCCTGAGGAGCCTTCAGTCTGCAGAGAGAAGCCAGCAGAGGAAGCAAGCAGCCCAGAAGCGGGCTGCAATCTAGGGGTGTGGGGGATGGATGGGTGAAGTATCATCAGAGGCAAAAATGTACTGTGCTTGTGGGGACCAGAGAAGTGCTCACGACCTCTCACCCCATCTCTCGGGCCAGAGAAGGCGAGGGAGGCAGCCAGGGTCCCCATCCCCAAGATGGGGTGCAGAACAGGGCCGAAGCAGGCCTGTGTGTCAGAGCAGAGCTCCCTAACTCGCTGTTGCATCAAAATTTCAAGGCCAGTCAGGTTGATCGAAAATTGACAGGAGAGGATCCATGTCATAGACATTCAGTGAGGAAGAGGACCTATGGGTAGAATGATGGGAAAGGTACTAGCTTTGGAGTCAAACTTGGATTTGAATGCCAACTCTTCTACTTGTTGGTTATGAGACCTAAACCTTGAGTCTCAGTCTCCTTATCTGTAAAATGTGGATAAATCTACTTCCTTCAGAGGGCTGCTGTGAAGATTAAAAGAGATAAGGCATGTACAATGCCTGGTATGTAGCAAACATTTAATAAACAGCAGTATTATATTATTATAATTCCACCATCATCGCTCAGGAAGTAGAGTATTTTGTACAAAACACTGGAGAAATATGGGCAGGATGAGAAAAGCTGGCCCTGCCTAGAGGCAAACCTGGGACCAGCTGAGGGCCAATGTATGGACCCCCTAGAAGGGGCAAGTGGGACATCAAGCTTGAGCCACACTGGTCAGAATGCCCTCAAGCAAGCTGGGATGGGATGCTGAGAGACAGGGCTAGGTTCTAAAAACCTCATGGAAAACTGTAATATTTACTCCTGATTAGGCTGCCCAGGCATTTTAAACCTAGAACCTGTCATATCGCCTGGCACATGTTGGCACAGGTATATAATCATATTTGTTGAATGAAAAAAAGGAACAAACAAATGAAAGAGACAAGTGGTGTCTGTGCTACTGGCTGGACTTAAGCAGTTCAGCAGGATTGCTATTTGTCATTCATACTCATCAGCAGCTGGCGTTAGCAGGCAGACAGCATTTAATACGAAGATTCAACCAAAGAAGCTTGGCTAAAAAAACTCCAAAACATGTCTTTTATATCACGACCTCTAATCACAAGGCAATTGATTTAGCTGGTGATCAAATGAAGAAACTGCAATCTGTTCCCATTCTAAAGCAGAAGCTGTAATACACAATCAGTAAACTGCACTTCATCGGAAACTGGAGACCTCCAGGGCTATCTCTGACCACACACAATTTTCACTCTCCACACTGACTTTAGAATCGAACTCCTCTCTCACGAGCAGATTCCATTATCCAGCTCTGATTAATAAAAACAGGGCCATAACAATCTAAGTTGACACAACCTTTCTGGAGGGTAGTTTTGCAATAGATATTAAAAGGCCTAAAACTGCACTCACCCTATCATCCCTCTCAATATTTTATTATTAAGAAAAAAAATTAAGGGCGAAGATTTAGTAATCAGAATGTTCACTGTAGTTCTGTTTACAATACTGGAAAAAACCAAAATAGGAAACTAGGAACTGGTTAAATCCACATAACAGAATACCATGCTATTTACGATGCTGGAGAACGAGGTTGGCAATGATTAAGTCAAAAAGTAGGTTACAAAGTAGGTATTCAGTTGATTCCAGTTTTGAAAAAGAAAGTGTACATATGGGATATACTCTCCAAACATTAACAGTAGTTATCTGTGGGAGATGGAATTACGGGTGTCTCTAGGTCTGTCTTTCTTTCTTTTACTTATCTGTACTTTCTAAACTGTCTACATTGAATGACTTTGCTAATAGGAAAACATCTGCTAAAACAATATAGAAGTGGGAAAGCTCATTATTACTAAATATATGTAGTTTGTTTGCTTGACAAACACAATTCTTTCAAAACGGGAGCCTATGGGGAAAACAATCACCTAACTGAAGAATGGTTGGGAGCACCCCCCACGGTTCCAGGGCAGGTCAGGTTGCGAGGGACAGTCACTTGGAGGGTGTGGGAGTACTCACAGCTAGCTTCTCCTTGACCACACTGGCCGTAGCTGCAATGGTGCAGGCCGTGTCATGCTGCACGACCTGGGTAAATTCTGTCAGGTCCCGCTTCATGAACTCCAAGGCTTCGGAGGACTACGGGAAGACAGAGGGATGACAGCGCCAGCTGGCTCCACCACCCTTTGTTCCCATTCCCTGTGCTTCTTCAGTACCAGACAGACACATGGAAAACTCAAGTGACAGAAGCCTCGGCTCAGAAGACAGGGCTTACTTGTCTCCATTCTACAACCTGGGGTTACCTGACAGCAGAGAGCACAGAACTTCCTGCCGCAGAAGCACAGGGACTGAGTCTCAGCCCAGACACTAGGGACAAGCTATGTGGCCATGAGTAGCTCTGGTGAAGGCCCTGGCTTTCTTCTACACAATGAGGGAGGTGGACTAGCTCAGCGGTTCTCAAGAGCAGACTGGGGAAGAGGGCACATACAGTCTGAAAATAAAGCAGGCTTTGATACATTGCTTTGATATGCTTTAAGTCATGATACTGGTTTCAAACTTCAAATAACATGAAAAAAACGTGTGATTTTTTATCTAAAGAAAGCACTTCTATTTTTACTTTTTTTGCTTCAAGGAAATTCCGTTGAAATATGAGGCAGTATATGAAATTATTTGTCTCAAGGTTTTAATGAACATGTTACATCAGTAACAGCAATAGTTTAGAATGCTTTTATGAGTAATTCTTCAGAATTGAATACCAGTAAAAAGGTATGTGATTTTGACATTCCACAAAGGGGGTGTTAAGACAAATACTGGACCGGATTCTCTGAGGGCTTCCTGGTTCCATCATTCCAGGGTTCTATTCATCCACAGAGCTCCTCTGGACAGAACCGATATTTGCTTCTTTTGGACCAATCTCTTCTCACTCTGCACTCAGACCAAGATTGAGAGAGCAGGCCCTCAGCTCTTGTCTAAGTCTGGCCCTATCTTCACCCACTCTAGGACACCTTCCTGGACTATGTCTCTGTTCACCCCTGCAAGCCCTCTCATTTTACAAAGGGATAATCACCTGCATTTTTTTAAAACATGTTTTTGGGTTTTCTGGTGGTTTTCTTCTTTGGGGAAGGGCCTGCCTAGTTTTTATCAGCCTGGGAAGTCTCTGAATGGGACAGTCTCATCAATCAGCCAGAGGCTTCTCTCGGGGTGGGACTCATGCCTCCATTTCAGACTCAGGACTCCTTAACTGGGCTGGAGGGGTCATTTATTAATTTGCTTTCTCCATCCACACTGCCATCACCTTAGTTCAGGCCAAGCTACTCTTTCCTCTGGACTCCTCCAAGGTTGCATCAGATACCTCTACTACGTTCTCCTCTTGACACCAGTGTAAGCTTTGTAAGTCATCGCAGACCATGTTAGCCCTGCTTTACACTCTTCTGTGGTTATACAGTATCCTATGAGCAAGCATAAAATCTCTACCAGGCACTTACAGGGCCTATGTAATTTCACGTCTGGCAGTGTCTCATCCCCTAACACTGCACCCCTCGCTGAGCTCCAGCTGGCCTTTCTCAAGTTCCTCAAATGCTCTAGCATCTTCCCAACCGAAGGTTGTCTTTATACATCATTTCTTCTCCTTGACGTACAGTTCAAACTCTTCCAAACAAACAAGCGAGCAAACACAATGAATGAACCCTTTCATCTCGCTAACTCCTGTTCTGCCTTCGGATCTACACTTAACTGTCACTTCCCTGGAGAAGCTTCCCTGATGTCACCAACAGGCTCCCTTGCTTCATGTTCTCAGGGCACCTGCGCGTTCTCCCTTAACATTTACCATACTTCGGACTCACGATTACCCGTTCTATGTCTATCCTCCTGGACGATCTGTGAGTTCCATGAACACAGAGCCCATGTGTTTGTTCACTGACGCTTTCCCAGTGTCTGACAGAGCACCTGGCATAAAGTAGGTGCTCAGAAAATGTTTGCTTGTTAAATTTACATGTACCAGGGCAATTTTAATTACATACCATTTGCATGATTATTTGATGAATGGTTGTCTCCCTCACTAGACTGTGAGCTCTGGGGGGACAAATATGAACAGCCATGGTGCTTGCCCTCAAGAAAGTCACAGTCTACTGGGGAAAATGCTCACATAATAGCGCTGATGTTCAAGGGCAGAGTGGGGACCAGTGTATTATGGGGAGGACAGAAAGACTTGGTGAGGGGGGGCCTGGACTGCATTCTAAAGAATGAGCAGGAGTCAGCTAAGGAAGCTGGGCATGATGAGGCATGGGGTTTACCGAGGCCTACAAGCATTTCAGTCCTATGGAATATAAAAGGTGAGGCACAAGTGCTGGAGGATAAAGCTGGAGAGGTTGCAGAGGGTGGCTCCACAACCATGAGGAGCCACCAACGGCCTGAAGAAGGTGGGGCATGATGAGATTTGCATTTCTGATAGGTCACTCCAGTGACTGCCATGGAGGATGGAGTGACAAGAATGACAAGATTAGAAGTGGGAGGAAGACTGGTCCAGAGGCTCTTGCAATAGCACAGGAAAGAAAACAAAATGTGAATAAGGGTAGTGCTGATAAGGATGAAAGGAAGGCGCTGGTTCAAGAAAGATTAGGCAAAAAAGGTGGATGTGAGTAGATGTGAGTCAGAGGGCAAGAAAAGAGTCAAGGAAGAGCCACTGGCTACTAAAACAGGTGACTGGGCAGATGCAGTGCTGCCAGCTGAGAGAAAATGCTGAAGGGGCAGTGGGTTGAGAGAAAAGATGACAAGAACCTTGGTCACGCTGAATCTGTGGTAACTGTGGGATATCCGGGACAGTTGTCCAGCAGGAGCTATTCTCAAAGACTAAAGCTCAGAGAAAAGGATTAAGTCATCCTAACATAAAAGTGGAGAAGGTCCTCCAGGAAGTTTGCAAAGTGAACAGAGCGGTGGGCTGAAGGCAAGGCCCCTCAAATGTTACCCTTAAGGGGCAGAAAGAGGAAGAGGAACTCATGAAACAGTCAGGGAAGGAGAAGTACATGGAGAACTGAGAGAGACTCATGTCACAGAAACCAAGGGAGTAGAGTTTCAAGAAAGAGGGAGTGATCACTAGTGTCAAATGCAGCCGAAAGGTCCAGGAAGATAAGGGCTGAGAACCACCCACTGGATCTGGCAAGTGGTAGGTGAAGCTGACTGTGCATAGAGATAAGTTTAGATGTGGTGGCTTCAGGGATGGGGAAGAAGAGAGATCATGCTGTTGACTTCAAATTTTAAAAAGCAGGAGGTGAATTTGTCTCCTGGAAGTAAAATAGGAAGTGGCCGAATAGGGGACTGGAGGGAAAAGTTAGGGTTGGGGAGTTTCTGAAGGCAAGGGGAAGAGAAGCAAATTAGAGACAAAAAGCTTGTTGGGGGATGCTTAGGCCCAGACAAGGCTGGGCAAGCTGTAGTGGGGCCAAAGAGCAATGTGACTTTCTCCACCAGTGTCTGTGAACAAACACAAACACACACACACACACACACTATAGGAGGGGGTAAGGAGCACAGGAAGGCAGACTCTAGCACCGTCTCAGAGCTGTAGTTTCTGGGGCACCGTATGCTAAGGGTGCAGGGGAATCGAAGGTGCTGGGAACTGTCTGGCCCAAACGGAGCCAGGATGGGAAGGGAAGGAGGCAAGGCCAGGAAAGCACTGAAAGACCAAGGAAAAAATGGAAAGAAAAGTGGACTGGTGGTGCTTATAAGGTTTCTCCATCATCTTCAGCACTTAATAAAAATAGCTAATGCTTATATACTACTTACTGTGTGCTAGGTATTGTTCTTGGTGCTTTACATATGTTATCATTTAATCCTCACAACGATACCATCAGGCAGGTGTTATTAGTATTCCCATTTTACAGACGAGGAACTGAGGCCTAGAGAGGTTATATAACAAGCCCAGATTCAGGTAAGAGTAAGAAGCTAAGAGAGGGAAATTAAGCCTTCTCTTTCTGAATGGGGAATTGTCAAAAGCAGAAACAACACCTGTACCCCTGCTTCACAATGGGAGTTCCCCCAAGAACAAAGATGGAAGGCTAACCAACTATCTATTTTTCATGAGTTATGGTAAATCCAACCTTGAGGGAAACACACAGCAGGCCCTCACACAACGCTTGCTGAATGAATGTCAGACTCTCCTTCTAGGAGATTGTTCAACAGGCAGCAAGCTACTGTGGAGTCTTTTCTATTAAACCTCAGTGTGAGATTCTCTCTCTTAGTCCTCATCAACCACATAAACAGCTCGGGACAGTCTCAGATTTGCTGGGCTGGAGCTGAGGCTGTTCAGGAGCATACAGATGGGAGGAGGAATAAAAACGCTCCCAGAATAGAGGACTGATTTAACTGAGGTCAGAAGCCTGGTGGCGTCCGCCCTGAAGCAGGACTCACCCCAGTTGCTTGAGGTAAACAGTAATTGACTTTTTTCCAGAATTCCGCTGGGCTGGTTTTCACAAACTAGCATGGAATGAAACAGGGACAGACAATGGCATTGTCCACTGGAAGAGCCAAGCCTCACTCATCCCACAGGGACTGCTGTCTCCCTCCTAGACTGTGAGCTTTGTGAGTCCCAGGATGGCATCTGTCTGGCTAATTTCTGTATCCTCAGGACCTGGCAGAGAGCGCTGGCTGTGACACACACTCTAATATTTGAATGACTATAGGAGTAAGTTTCTATTGCTAGAATTCTTTTTCTTCAAGGCCTAGGTCAAATGTTCTCTCTTCTACGAAGCTGTGTTCTTTCCTACGGATTCCTAAGAAAGGGTCGCTCCGGCCTTTAAAACAATCTTTATTTCACTGTGGCTAGTGTCACACCGGTCTGAGTCGGGGTCTGCCCTCCTGTAGACGGATAGGGGCGGCCTCATCCCTGAGGCCCGGCGCCCACACAGGTCGGGCGGGGCAGCTCACACCAGGCTGCAGTGAGGCGGCGCGGGGCCCTGCGGAGGAAGGGCGCCGGCCCGGCTTACCTTCTCCTTGACTGCCTGGTAGCTCTGCTGCAGCCAGCTCCGCCACCATCCCACGTCCTCCCTGTGGAAGACAGACACATCTGGCGGCTCTGCGGTGTGACTCCTGCCCGCTCAATGATCGGGTCTCAGTTTCCCCCTCTGATGTGGCCCGCGGGGCCGAGGTTTCCCAGACCGCTTCCCCACCCGCTCACACTGCGGCCCCACCCCGCCTTTTCAGCTCAGTCCACGCCCGCGCTGGCCCCCTGTGTCCCACGGGGACCCTGGCCCAACACCCCAACCCTTGGAGAATTCAGGCCTCAACGCCCGAGAGCTAGATGACGGGCTCACCCTTCCGCCATCTTGCCTGCATGACATCACCACTATTTACTGAACTTTGACTTCCGACACGGCACCTCCCCCTCAAGCACCGCCCCGGAGCGCTCGGCCCAATCCTGGCGCCGACACCGCCCTCAGCCCAATCCCCGCCCCGGTCCATCATTAGGCCCCGCCTCCCAGAGCTCTGTCCGGTCTTCCAGAGTTTGCCCTTAAGCTCCGCCCCTGAACGCTCTGTCCAATCCCTACTCAGTTCTGTCCTCAGGCCCACCCCCAAGCGTTAGCCCCACCCCCTCCAACCTCGAATCTTTATAGGTATCACCTGACATCCGATACGGTGGCCGCTGTGGGCCACGGTCGGCCCCGTGGTTGGGGCGGCGGCGAACAGGGAGCAGAGGGGAGGAGGGCAGGGAGCCGGACCGGAGCTCGAACGTTTGGATCCCGGAGCGCAGGGATAGGACCGCCCCCCTTTGTGAAACCAGCGGCGTAGCCGCTGCTTGGGGTCCCCTTTGGCTAATTCAACAAGCGCAGACTGCGGGGCTCTGGGCCAGAGTTTGGAGGTGTATGGAGAAAAATTCAGAGATGTCTTCGACGCAGCCTTTGGAAGGGCTCTCAGGATACTGGGGAGACAGACACATTCAATTCCCTCAACTCTTGGCCGCCCAACTCAGAACAACGCGAGCTGGAAGCGGTCGGGAGAAATCCGGAGACAGCCTGGAGGAGGGAGACTGAATTGTGAGAGAGAGGGGGACTTTCCGGAAGAGGAGGTTTCCACTGGTTTTACTGCCTCAAATGCTACCCCCATACGTTGCACTGGATCCCATCGCCTCTTGTCTGTTTAAGAGCGTAGCTTTAGCGGTTCTCTCCGCAGCCCCCCCCCCCCCATTCTGTCTTTCCTCTTTACAGGATTATTCCTGTCATCATACATGCTGTTATTTCTCTCATCTTAAAAAGCATGCAAACAAAAACCAACCCTCTCTTGATCCTACACCATTTCTCTACTCCCCTTTACAGCAAAACTCCTGAAAGAGTTGCCTGTACTCACTGTCTCAACTCCCCACTCCTCCCATTCTCTCTGGAACTCACTTCAGTCAAGGTTTTGTCTCTCCACAATCCTTTGAAATAACTTTTGTTAAGGTGCCAAGAACAATGGCCAGTTTTCAGTCCTTATCTTGCTTGAACCATCAGCGTCTGATTTGACTCCATCACTTTCCTCCCCCTCCACTTTCCTCGCTTGACTTCCAGGACACCATGTGCTGTGACTTTTCTTCTGCCTGGCATTTCCTTCTTAGTGTTCTTTGCTGTTTTCTCATCAACCTTTTGTTGCTGGAATGTCCCAGGCCTCAGTCTTGACCTCTTTTTCGATGTCTATAATCATTCCACTGATGATCTCATCAAGTCTCATGATTTTAAATGCCATCTATACACTGACTACTCTCAAATTTTCTATTCAACCCACACAACTTCTCTGAACATCAGGGTCATCATCTCTATTTGGATGTATAATAGGCATATTAAGTTTAACATGTCCCCGAACTCCTGATGTATCTACCTCAACTTCCCACAACCTTCCTCATAGCTGCAAATGGCAACCTCATCTTTCCAGTTGCTCAAGCCAAAATCCAGGAGACATCCTTGATTCCTCATTTGCTTTCACTCTCCAGAGCAAATCCAGTTGGTTGTACCTTTAAAACAAAACCAGAATACCAGAATCCAGTCTGTTCTCACCACCTCCACTGCTACTATGTAGTTCCAACCCACCGTCATCTCTCACTTGGATAAGTGCAAGAGCCTCTTAACTGGTATCTCTGTGTCTGCTCTTGCCTTCCTATAGTCTAGTCTTCATTCATCCTGAAAGTAATCTTTTAAAAAACATAAGATGGTGGGAATGTAAAATGGTGCAGCTGATGTGGAAAACAGTATGGTGGTTCCTCAAAAAAATTAAACAGAATCACCATATGATCCAGCAATTCCACCTCTAGGTATATACCCAAAAGAATTGAAAGCAGGAACTTAAACAGATATTTATACATCCATGTTCATAGCTGCGTTATTCACAATAGCCAAGAGGTGGAAGCAGCCCAAGTGTCCATTGACAGACAAATGGATAAGCACAATGTATATACATATAATGAAATATTATTCAGTCTTAAAAAAGAAGAAAACTCTAACACATGCTGCAACATGGGATGAACCTTGAAGACATTATGCTAGGTGAAATAAGCCAGTCACAAAAGGACATACAGTAAATGATTCCACTTATATGAGGTAGCTGGAGTGGTCAAATTCATAGAAACAGAAAGCGGAATGGTGGTTACCAGAGGCTATGGGGAGGAGGGAATAAGGAGTTATTTTTGAATGGATATAGAGTTTGAGTTTGGGAAGATGATAAAGTTCTGGAGATGGATGATGGTGATGGTTGTACAGCAATGTGAATGTACTTAATGCCATTGAACTATACACTTATACACTCAAAAATAGTTAAAATAGTAAGTTTTATCTTACGTATATATTACCATAATAAAAAATCTATGTAAGTCAGATCATGACCCTCCTCAAAATTCTCCAGTGTCTTCTTATTTCACTCAGAGGAAAAGCCAATTGAGTCCTCACAGTCTCCTTTAAGGTCCTACATGGTTGACCTGATCTCCAACTACTGGCTCCCTTAGTCCCCCTCCCCCAACTGTGTTGGCCACTTTGATGTTCCCTCAAAATTCCCAGCGATCTCCTGTCTCAAGGCCTTTGAACTTGCTGTTCCCACTGCTTAGAATGTTCTTGTCCCAGATATCCCCGTGCTTCAACCCTTCATCTCCCTCAAATCTTTACTCAGATATCATCTTATTCACCCTGACCACGTTATTTAAAATTGCAACTTGCGCCCCCAGCATTCCCATTGCTTGCCCCTGCTTAATATTTTTCTCCACACCACTTATCACCATCTGACATAGTACGCATTTTGCTTTTTTTTTTTTTTTAATATCTTCCTCCCTCTGACTAGAGATGTGACTTCCGTGAAGATAAGGATTTTAGTTTGTCTTGTTTACCTAGCTACCACTAACACCTAGAACAGAGCCTGGAACATCATAGACACTCAATGTTTGTTGAGTAAATGAAATAAAAATGTAAGGAGAGCAAGGACAAAGACCGGACTAACTTAATGCAATCTGGAGTGGCTAAATTGAAAAGGGAAAAGCGAAGATGTTGGTGAGGCTGTAAATGTCGTTAACATCTAGATTCCTGAGAGCCTTGGATACAGGGCTAATCCATGGACAGAGGAGAGTCACCAAAGGTTTTTTTTTTTTTTTTTTTGAGGAAGATTAGCCCTGAGCTAACATCTGCTGTCAATCTTCTTTTTGCTGGGGAAGATTGGCCCTGAGCTAATATCCATGCCCATCTTCCTCTACTTTATATGTAGGATGCCTACCACAGCATGACTTGATAAGCGGTGCGTAGGTCCGTGCCTGGGATCCAAACTGGTGAACCCAGGGCCGCTGAAGCAGGGTGCGCGAACTTAACTGCTGCACTGCTGGGCCGGCACCCAAAGATTTTTGAATAAGGAAATGACTTATGCTGTGAAGATGATGTGACCAAGTGACCGTGCGCTACTGTGAATAGGTCTAATGGTGCCATTCATTAAACAGGTGAGCATTTTACACAGTGTACCTTGTATGATCTTCCCAGTAGCCTTATGAAGTAGGAACTATTTTTAATCTCCATTTTATAGTTGAAGAAGCTGATATTCAGAGAGACAGAGTGACTTTCCCATGGTCACACAGCTAGGAAACGGCAGAACTCTAATTTGAACCCAAAGCTGTCTAATAAAATCAAGTTTTTGCACATCTCATTTGACTTAACTCCATCCAGCCTCGTGTCCTGCTTCTCCACCCAGACCATAAGCTGCAGACCGGCAAGGACTGCATCCCGTCCTTGACTATATCTGCCTTATGTCATTCTATCACTCCCAGGGCTTGCTCATGAGGTCTTCGGTGCGTGTGGACTGAGTGGGACCCTCTGCTTGGATCTCTTCGGTCTTCCCCATCTATTCATGCCCACACCTTGACTCTTGGCTCCCTTCACTGGTATGACCACTGGCATCAAGCAGATGTGGATTCAAATCCCAGCTCAGCTGCTTCCAAACAATGTGGCCTTGGTCAAGTTAACTTCCCCTGGCTTTAGTGTCTTTGTTATTAAAATGGGGATACTACTGGTTGTCGTGAGGATTGAGTAACATAAATAAGTGTTTACCTAGCACATCATATGGCATAAAGTCTTTGATGTGGTAGTTATTATTGTCTTAGCCTCCTTACCCCTGCCCTCAGAGCCTAACACAATTTTCGGCACTGGCAGAGGGTTCATAAGCCTCTGTTGAATTAAAAGGCATGTTGAAAGAACACTGGATTGGGAATCAGCAGAGGTGACTTTAATCCTGGGTTCTAGGCATTGGTTACTTTTTCTCTTTGGAACTATTTCTTCACTGTCCTCAGGATCTCTAAGGTCTCATTTAGCTCTTAGGTGAAGTATGTATGCATAAATTCACCCCATCCCTGACCCTCAGACCCTCCTTTGATCCACATCTGCTGTCCTGCGCTGTTGGACCCCTCTTGGCTGGTGATTCTTGTCCCAGGATCCTCCTGGCTTTGGCTCCCAGGGTGCCCTGACACCCACGTGCCACCAGGTGGGGCTGTGGACTCATTGAGACTAAGCTGGCTCCCGGGTCTCCGGGCAGAGCTGACAGGAGAGGTCCTAGGATGCCCTTCTGGCTCCTCTGGAGAGGTTGGGCTTCCTCAGTGGAAGGCAGCCAGGCCTGGGAGATCCTGGGAGGTGAGGTTTCCAAAGCCTGCCCTAGTTCTGCTGTGGAGATTCCAGCTCAGAGTTGGCAGCAGGACCAGCTACATAATGTGTGGAACCCAGTGCAGGATGAAAATGCCTGAGTTGCTGGTAGAGGCAGCACAGGACATACCTAAAAGCCAGCAAAGTGGTTCTAGGTCAGCCTTCTAGAGCTGACTGTTAAAACTTCAGGGGTTTATGAGCTGGCTATTGAACACAGCCATTATAAAAAATTTAAATGATGTAAACTTACAATTAAATTATATAAAAACAAAGATACTAAATATCCCAAACTCATCAC